TGTAACATTCAGCTTTTTCTCTCTTCTCTCTCCTCTCTCTCCTCATTCTGCCACCATTGAACTAATTGTGATTTAGTTCAACTTTTGACCAGGTCTTGGTCATCACTTAGTTAAATGGACCACATTTAACTTAGCATCTAATCTCGAAACATTACGCTGGAATGTTAAAAAAACGCAAATTGATAACAAAGATAATATGAATGTTAGTATTACCCTGCATAATAAGGTGTGGGGACCAAAAATGCATCACCGGGATCTGCCAAACAAAACGCAGTCACGTCGTGTGCTCCCGTTGCTCCACTGCTCATAACAATTCGCTCAGGGTCGAACGTTACTCTATTTCCTCTCGTTCTTCCCATGAATTTAGCCACTGCCTGTGGAATTAATTTCAACCCAAAGTTAATTATATTATATTATATTATATATAGCAAGCTTGATTTGAATAATTAAGGTTTTTCAGTTTATCCTAGTATGTCGCTCACATTTATGAACTCTGGTAGCCCATGATAATCCTGAAAGTTGGCAATGGCCTTGAAATCACGCACTCCTTCTTGTGTGCAAATGGAAGCCCCCAGATTATTCACTAACCAATGCTGAACCAACTCCGAAGCAAGCTGCAAAAATTGAAAAATAAAAAATTAGATTTTTGGCTTGTGCTGTGAGCTTGTTCAAACTCTCGTTTCCCTCCATTGACCTGGATAAAAAATTAGATTTTTGGCTTGTGCTGTGACCTGGATCGACGAGGCTGGTTCCCACTTACTCCATTGCCCATTTGAATAACTCTCATCGACCCAACATTTCTTCTCCCCGACGACGCTTTCAACGTTGGCATTGGCGTCTTACAAGAAGGAGAAGAGGAGGCATGGGGATCTTAGGTGGGGATGAAGGTGACCAAGAGAGAGAAAAAACTAAAGAGGAGAGAGAAAAAACTGAACAGGATAGGAGAAAAGAGAAAAAGTTAACGCCGTTGATGCTCATTTAACGGATAGGATTGAATTGATACAATTTTTATAGGGTTAAATATGTTTTTAGTCCCTAAACTATTGACCGTTTCTGGTTTTCGTCCCTCTTCCAAACTAAGGTACGATTTGGTCCTCAATCTTTAAAAAACGTTCGTTTTAGTCGAAAAAACGAACGTTTTGAGGACTAAAACGAGGACTAAAAACAAAATTTTGAGGACTAAAACAAACGTTTTTCTAAAGAATGAGGACCAAATCGTACCTTACTTTGGAAGAGGGACGAAAACCAGAAACGGCCAATAGTTTAGGGACTAAAAACATATTTAACCCATTTTTATATCTTTAGGACTCAATGTCTTCATTTTTAAAACTGGGTACTAAACATAAATTCACCTCTTAACCTAGGAACGAAATAAGCATTTAAGCCTTTATTTTACTAGTGAAAGGAACTCATTCTACACTTATTTGGATCATATTTATATATTATAACTAAATCTCGATAGTTTGGTATGTGTATTATTAGTTTTCATTATGTTACCATTTATTATATTGTTACTATACTTCCTAAATAAGTATTATTTTAATAGAAACATAGACTTACTACCCATATTAACCATATAAATACAACTAATATTTTTTAGAAAATACTTACTTTATAACAATCACTCTTATTTATAGATTCTTTTATTAAGTTTAGTATTGAAAACCCTTTTATAGATGAATCTTATTCTTTCAACATCGCTCAAAATCTAGATAAAAACAGTTTATTAAAATTCTATCAAAGTAAAATTCTTAATAGAGTAGGAAAATATGAAGGAAACAAAATTAATAAAAATATTCTTTAATGTTTAAATTAATATGTAAATAAAATCAAATTTTTGCAAAAATAAATAAAAATAGGTTTATAAATTAACTTCTCACAAAATTATGTTAACTAGGTTTACATCTACTAAGCAAAACCTTTCTTAGGTTTCTAATTGGATTTAGGTCACTCTTAATATCGTACATGTTTATCTTTGTTTTAGATTACTTAAATTTCACTAGCATATTTTGAATTGAAGTTAATCTATCAAATCTAGTCTATATATTATCATTCGTAAATTTGTATATGTACTTGTCTTTATATCAAATATATGTTAGGTATATATATATATATATATAT